TGGAATTATCTTTTTGAACAAAAGTGGCTAGCTTTTGCTGGCGGTAGCGTCACCAAGTGGTCTATGGCGCTGGTTTTAGGCACAAGTTATTACGATGACGTCGATTCGAATCCCACCGCTGCCAGTTGTTTAATAATTTGTCACCTCTCTTTAGGACGCGAATGTATGTCACCTTGGAGACGCCTTGTATTTGGAATATACATGGCAGACAATCCATGTTGTGTACAATTTACGTTTATTTTTTAATTTTCTCTTATTTCATTCCATTCGCAAAGACTGAGCCGTTTCAAGATCTACTAGCAATTTAAAAATCTCTCCAAAGAACAATTATCAATAAATTGGTCGTGAATCACATTGGTATCTTCATTCTTGGACTTGATGGATAGAGTACGACAAGCAATGCACAATTGCAATAAATAGTAACGGTTGTACAGTTTATACGCACCACGTACTAACAAACAGAACGACGGTAGCAGCTCGTGAGAAAGTTCTTATTATTTTCGAAAACTATTGTATTCAGAAGAAAATGGTAGGGTGGCATCGGCACGCATAAACGCTCCATAATAATAATAGCAAGAAATGGTTTCGATCCATTGACCTCTGGGTTATGGGCCCAGCACGCTTCCACTGCGCCACCCTGCTTGTTTCTGCTTGCAATCAGCCAGTTGTATATATTTTCCAAGTCTTGAAAACCAGGAAGCAACATATTTCCCTTTAACCTGTAATGAAGCCACTGCACCAATTCATTGGAATAGATTTTAAAACAGACAAGAAAATGCTACAATATAGAGCCAACTGGCCACATAACCAACAATCAATAGCTATTGTTATTATTGAGCGTGGATGCATGCAGACGTCACCCACGGATTTTGGTCGAACTTTTTCTCAAAACAACAGATGTCGTAAATTATATGGAGATTAGAGCAAATTGCTGCGGTGGTCTTGTTGGTTAGGGGAGGATTGCCAAAAACGTGCTGCCGGAGGGGATCGAACCCTCGACTTTAACAATAATGATAATAACAGAAGGAAATGCTCACGATCTGCTTGACCTCTGGGTTACGGGCCCAGCGCTTAATGTGGGGACACAAGAGTGCATATGTCACCTTATATAGCGTTTTGGTTCAAATTGTTTTTAAAACAACAGGTTTCGTAAATAATATCGCGATTAGGACGAATTGCTGCGGTGGCTTTGTTGGCTAGTGTGTCGTTCGTGTACGAATTTTTTCAAAATAACAAGTTTTCGTAAATAATAAGGACATTTAATATGAACATTTAATAAGACGAATTGCTGCCGTGGCTTGTTGATTAGAGAAAGATATAGGTGGATGGCTAAAAACTTGCTTTCGCAGGGGATTGAACTCTCGACTTTCGCATACACTCAGGTACTGCTTATAAGTACGAAATGGCCCACGAGAGCACGTCCCGATAACGCTCCTATTATTTTCGAAACTTGTTTTTTCGGGGGATTAGTACTTTTTTTATATAAACATATATATTTCATGATGACGTTTACCCAAGAGCTATCAAGCTCATCGAGGGGCTTACGTCAGAAGGAAATGGAAGAAGAAGGAAATGGTCTCGATTCATTGATCTCTGGGTTATGCGCCCAGGAGGCTTCCACTGCGCCACACTGTTCCTTTCGCTGAATCATCCGAACAACGTCAAAGAAATTTAGAGTCTTTAGCTAATGTTAAACATGAGGTTCTGCCGAAGATTCTGCCGAGACTTGATTGGAGATAGTTGGATCCACAGTCCAAAGTGCTAACCATTGCACCACAAACTTTCGAAGGATTGTGGTCTCATATTATTGAACAAAAGTAGCTATACTTGTTTCAGAAGTGTGGCCGAGTGGTCTATGGCGCTGGTTTTAGGCACCAGTCATTTCGATGACGTGGGTTCGAATACCTCCGCTGCCAGTTGTTTAATAATTCGTCACCTCTCTTTAGAACCCGGATGTATGTCACCTTCGAGACGCCCTGTATTAGGAGTATACATGGCAGACAATCCATGTTGTATACAATTTACGTTTATTTTTTATCTTTCCCTTATTTCATTCCATTTGCAAAGACTAAGCCGTTTCATGATCTACCAGCAGATTAAAAATCTCTATAGAGCCTACTGGCCATATAACTCAACAATCAATAGCTATTGTTATTATTGAGCGTGGATGCATGCAGACGTCACCCACGGATTTTGGTCGAACTTTTTCTCAAAACAACAGATTTCGTAAATCATATGGAGATTAGGGCGAATTGCTGCGGTGGTCTTGTTGGTTAGGTGAGGATTGCTTAAGAACGTGCTGCCGGAGGGGATCGAACCCTCCAGTTTAATAATAATGATAATAATAGCACGAAATGATCACGATCAGCTTGACCCCTGGGTTATGGGCATAGCAATTATTGAGGGATCAAGAGTGCATATGTCACCCTGTAGCGTTTTGGTTAAAATTGTTTTCAAAACAACAGGTTTCGTAAATGATATGGCGATTAGGACGAACTGCTGCGGTGGCTTTGTTTGCTAGTGTATCGTTGGTGTACGAATTTTTTCAAAATAACAAGTTTTCGTAAATAATAAGGATATTTAATAAGACGAATTGCTGCCGTGGCTTGTTGGTTAGAGAAAGATAGGTATTGATGTCCATAGGCGTACAGGAAGGAAAAAATTAGGGGGCAGAAAGAATTGTCGGATTTGCCCGACCAGTGCCGAAAAATTTTTTTTCGGAACAAATAATTTTGACGAGCTCCCTCCCCCCCCCCCGTCGCCGAAAAATTTCGGTCTGTGTACCATTTTAGGGGTCAAAAATTTTTCGAACATGCCAAAATTTTTCAGAGCATCAAACAAATTTTACGAAATATAAAAAAATTTACAGAATTTACCCAAAATTGACAGAATTTGTCCCATTTATTTTTATAATAACCCAATATTGCCCGACTGTGAAGCGAATATTGCCCAACTGGCTTTGTTTGCCCAACAAACTGGGGTTATTATTAAGAGAGATTTTACTGCTTTGACTACTTTTTGCCCGACTTTTGCCCGACTTTTGTTGAACATTTGGCCGACTTTTAGACTTTGTTACTAACAATAACGATGTTAAAACATGGAACAGATACGTAGACGACGTCCTTGCTACAGTTAAGAAAGACAAGACTGACGACATTTTACATACTAAAACAATACTACAGAAAATATAAAATTCACGAAAGAAGAAGAAGATAACAACCAACTTGCTTTCCTTGACATTTTGTTGACAAGAACTGATGACGGCACGATTAACACACAGGTCTACCGTAAGAAAACGCACACTGACCAAATACTGAATTTTAACAGCAACCACCCTACTCAACACAAAATAAGCTGTATAAGAAGCTTATTCAACCGAATAGATATGCACTGTAAGACAGAACAAGCTAAACAAACAGAACGCAAATATCTATACTCGACTTTCATGAAAAACAACTACGTACCCTAGGAACTTCATTAACAAAATACTAACAAAAATGCGTAACAAACAACAGAGTAACATACCTAACGAACAACCTGAACAATCAAGGACAAGAATAACTCTACCTTACATAAACAGTACATCTGAAATGACCGCCAAATTATTGCGACCTTTCAACATTGACGTAGCAGACAAACCGGCACGTAAACTTAGGTCATATTTCACAAAACACAAAGACAAAACAGCATCAAAACAAACAAAAAATGCTATATACATGATACCTTGCAGTGACTGTCCACAGCGATACATAGGTCAAACCTCGAAAAAAGTTGAAACACGAATAACTGAACACAAAAACGCCATAAAACGATACGATTATAAATCACTACCTGCAGCCCACACATACGACAAGTGCCATACCTTCAACTGGACAGAAACGGAACTATTAGGACGAGCACAAACAAAACACGCACGTGAATTTAAAGAGGCATGGTACAGTATAGACGGTAATACAATTAACCGACACGTTGAAATTCCCACTATTTACTTACAACTTAAAACAACACGTAATTGTCCTACTAATAACAACGATACTATGACTAATGCTAACTTCCAAATAACACTTCCTTCAACATCCGCCACACAACAATCCAAACATTCCAATGACGCCATCCCTAGCAGAAGAATTCACTCAACCATGACAACGCATTCTTCAACCAGCAATGAGATCAGATGAACCGCGGAACAGCCAATCAGATGGTCTCGACGTATACAAGAACTTAGCAACACCGCAATTAAACTTTAATTAAATAATGTACATATGCAATTTTAATCTCAGTATTCTGAAGAAGGCTCGAAGTACCGAGTTGAAAGCTCAATAAAAGTATATTTCAATCCGGAGAACTTTAATTAATTAATATGTATATATCTATATATATATATATATATATATATATATATATATATATATATATATATATATATATATATATATATATATATATATATATATATATATATATATATCCCATTGAATATCTTGCGTGATGGGTTTCTAGATTCGCGAAATATATACAACTGGCTGATTGCCAAGAACAAGAAGCAGGGTGCGCAGTGGAAGCGTGCTGGGCCCATAACACAGAGGTCAGTGGATCGAAACCATTTCCTGCTATTATTATTATGGAGGGTTTATGCATGCCGAAGGTACCAACCATTTTCTTCTGAATGTTTCGAAAATAGTAAGGCCTTTTTCACGACCTGTTACCGTCGCATGTTTGTTAGTGCTCCGTGCTTATAAACTGTATCACCGTTACTATTTATTTCGACTGTGCATTGCTTGTCGTTTATATTGATTAGTGTTCTTTGAAGAAAGTTTACAATGGCCTATGTATCTCGAAACGGCTTAGTCCTTGCAAATGGAATGAAATAAGAGAAATCTCAAAAATAAACGTAATTTGTATGCTATTTGGATTGTCTGCCATGAATACTCCAAATACAAGGCCTCTCCAGAGTGACATACATCCAGGTTCATAAGAGAGGCGACAAATTATTAAACAACTAGCAGCGGTGGGATTCGAACACACGTCATCCAAATTTTGGACTTGTGCTTAAAACCAGCGCCTTAGACCACTCGGCCACGCTACCGAAAAAAAGAAAAGTCACTTTTGTTCAATAATATGAGTCCACAATCCTTAAAAATCTGTGGTGTAGCGGATAGCACTTTGGACTTTGAATCCAACTACAGGTATCTGCAATCAGGTGTCGGCAGAAACTTCGGCAGAACCTCAAGTGTAACATTATCTAAATTTCTTTCATGGTGTTTGAATGATTCAGCACAAGGAGCAGTGTGGCGCAGTGGAAGCGTGCTGGGCACATAACCCAGAGATCAATGAATCGAGACCATTTCCTTCTTTTATCCGCTAGTCTAGTACTAATCTTCCGAAAGAACAAGTTTCGAAAATAATAGGTGCGTTATCGGGACCTGCTCTCGTGGCCCAGTTGGTTAGTGCGTCGTACTTATAAGCAGTAGCCTACTTGAGTATATGCGAAGGTCGAGGGTTTGATCCCCTCCGAGAGCAAGTTTTTAGACATCCATACCTATCTTTCTCTAACCAACAAGCCATGGCAGCAATTCGTCTTATTAAATGTCTTTATTATTTACGAAAACTTGTTATTTTGAAAAAAATTCGTACACCAACTATACACTAGCAAACAAAGCCACCGCAGCAATTTGTCCTAATCGCCATATCATTTACGAAACCTGTTGTTTTGAAAACAATTTTAAGCAAATTGTTTGCATGCTGTCTGTCATGGCGCAAGGACGTGCTCTTAATAAGCTCCATGAAAATGTTGCTAATACAAATGAAAATAGTTGTCTGAATTCCTTTCTTACTAGTGCTACAATCATGGCCAAATGTTTGTGGAACGCAAGCTAATTAATGGGTAAATGCGTGCGAGTTTATAATATTGTCACAGACTTCACAAAAAAAGTAACTCCCCCGGCCCCCCTTTCCAATGTTGATCCTAACGTTACTAAACGAGATTGTGTCATGCTTATTCCGAGCAGAAAACAATCCCAATCAACATTGACAGGGGGGGAGGGGGGTTTATTATTCAAATTAAGGTTAAAAACACGAAATCGCACTTTACGTTCCACAACATTTGGCCATGATTGTAGTTGCACTAAACTGTCTGGCATGTCTTATGATGGAGTACGTTTAAAGTGGACCGGTGATTTAACAATTTTAAAACGAATTGTACGAGAAGTGTGGGGCCTCGAAGGCAAATGGTCATCACCTGGGGGCCAGTCGAAGAGGTTTTCTAGCACAAACTCTGATTTAGTAGTCACATGGCATAAAGGTAAAGCAAAATCTGTGCTTTTTAAAGGTAGAGACGGTGTTTTGGTGCGAGATCGATGTATATTGCTTTGCGAACAAGCAACTCAGTCTATGCTAAAGCCACATTTGCCAGACTCCAAAGAAATTAAACTCTCGCAGCAAAATATTACAAGTGCGTGTGATTGTCCTAACCTATCGGACAGAAATATGAATGCCGCCATCGATTCCCCTTCCCCGGTTGAAAGTATACAAGGCAGAACTATCCATCGTTCAGCTCCCGCTTTTTTCAATTATCATTGCCAGACTGAGCATATGGAGCTGAATAATAATAATTGTGGTTGTGGCTGCGGAATTCTGGTTGCTGAGTTTGAAGGAATAAAACTTGATTTAGTTATTTTACAAAAGAAATTTGAGACTGAATTTGCGACCGAACGTACCAATGTAAGCCAACTTAAGCCGCGAGAACTTGCTCATGAAAAAGATAAAAACAGTCGTCTTGAGTCGGGCTTGAGTTTGTTTGTGAGAGAAAGAAATGCCGAAGTCGATCAATTGAATGAAACAATAGCCTTACTTAACGACAGAATCAAAACTAGTGAAGCGATTATTGATCAACGGAGACCTTCTAATGCAAGCATAAATTTGGAAGAAACATGTACTTTTGATTCTGCTCAATCAAAAGATGAGCTTGTCAGAAAATATCCAGTTTGTGTCGACATTAGTACGCAAACCAAGAATGACGATCAAAAATTATCTAATAATAATGCTGGTCAGTTTTGCATGAGTGAAAATGCGTATGCCGCTAATCTCCTTAATAAGGTTGCCGAAGTGCGCAACGATACGGCTCATTCCATTAGTCAAACTCGCATAAATAAAAACGTTAATGCGAATTCCTCTAAGCATTTGGTCGCATATCCATTCCTATTAAAGAAAGGACATTGTTTAAAAGGATCAAGATGTGATTTTTCTTACAATATTAGCCAAAGTCGTCTAAGTAAAAGGCAAGCGTGAATCCCCCTAAAGAAGTCATTGAAGTTAGCAACGATGTGGTTTATCCTACTACCCTTAATGACAGTAGTGTTAGTTCTAATTCTAGTACTCCTAATGAAATGTATACTATACCAGTAAGAATTACCACTCGGAGACGCGGTAAACGTGACCCGCAAAAATTCAGAAGGAGAAATAGTGAGCATTTTTTATGGGACTCGGGGAATCCCAATCGCCCTCCAGAATCAAAGCCAGAATCACAACTCGAAAATCACAACTCCTGGAAGGCTTACCTACAATCGGTCAACCAAACTTTGGACCAACTTGGAACCCTAGTATAGGTGAAAACTTGCGTACTAACGATGACATAATTTTATTCACTAATTTATCTTATAATCCACCGCCACGCAAGTCGAATAATTTGATAACTATTCATGTTTGTAAACCAGGACCACCAGAGAGTCGCTCTATTCCTACGTGTATTGTAATTAATGCGAGATCCTTAGCTGAGCATTGTACTTAGAATTGAATAGTCACAATGTAGATCTGGGTATTGTGACAGAAACTTGGCTAAAATCTACCATTCCCAGTCAAGCGGTATTGTAGGCACGATTGGAAACTCGAAATTTTGGAAGAATTTTCGAATCCTTATGAATGTCTATGGACTAAAATAACAACCAATAACTCGATATTTTACTTATCAGCAATATATCATCCTCCATCTCCCGAATACCATCCTGATGACCTCCTTGATTTCCTAATGGACTCATGTGAGAGATTATTATCATTAGCGCCAAACGCGAAACTAATCATAGCTGATGACATTAACCAATTGGCGATAAAGACATTGCTAAATTACCATTCGTTAGTACAGATTGTGGCCAAAATATCCTTGATGTGTTTGTAACCAATGTTCCCAACTTCTGGAGTAAAGCTAAAACGATAAAAAGCCTTGTACGATCTGACCATCTGACTGTTTTACTTAAACCTGTGGTTAAGGCAAAAGCCATAAGAAAAACAGTAGAGTTTCGCGACTTAAGAGAGCACAATAAGTTAAAAATGTTGCGGAAAATGGAGGACTTTCAATGGGACACAATCTCCAGTGGTACTTCTTGTCCAAACGAAATGATCAACAACTTTTATTACAAAATCTGGCCAATATACGAAGAATGTTTCCCAATTATTAAAACACGAGTATCTAGTAGAGACCCTCCTTTTCTTTCTCCAATAGTTAAGCATCTCTTAAAGCTGAGGAAAAATGCCATTAACAAGAGAGATAACGAGAGCAGTCATTGCCTACAAGAAAAAATTAATAAACTCATTCGGAGCAATCAACTCAAAGCAGTTAAACAAGAAAATAAGAACCAAAATTGTGGATCTAAAAGATGGTGGTCATTAGTTAACAAAATAACTGGTCGTGGTAATAGTGAAGTACCATTAAGCCACATTATCAATCCAAAGGTAATGAATGAGCATTTTCAAACTATTAATACACATCCTGACTATGTTACCCCTCAACCTCTCCCTATTCCCCGTGGCACAAGAGTACCTGAATTATCCGTCCATACTGTTTGAACGAGCCACCTCGGGTCCAGATGAGTTTTGGAACACCTATGCGTATGACATTGCGCCTGTGATAACCATCATTTTTAACAGCTAAATCAAACTGGACATTGTTCCTGACAGTTGGAAATTAGCAAATCTTTTACCTGTCCCCAAAGAATCTACTCTGACAGAATCAAACCAATTACGACCCATTTCGTTGACCAATATAATTGTTCGCCTTTTTGAAAGAGCAATCTATACAACTGAATTAGTGCAGGTGATGGAAAACGCCATCCATAAAGATCAGTTTGCCTATAAAAGAGGTTATAGCTTTACAATGGCCCTAATAAAAGCGCAACATACCTGGATGGAATGGTTGCATGGTAATGCTCAGGGGCGCACATTCGAAAAAAATTTGGGGGTGTCCTATGTTCTGGGACCGACTTTTGTAGTATTTGTGTTTGGTAAGAAAAGCCAACTATTTAAAGCGCATAGACGGTAAGGCGGGGATAGTATTCCAAGAGTTTAAATAAACGTTCAGTTTTTCAGAACTTTTGCAGTGGTCTAAACTTTCGTGGGGGGG